TTTTTATAAAAATATATTTTTGAATAGCGTATTGATACAAAATGTGTGGTTAAAAAATAAGAAATTTTTTTGAATTTGCATGTAATATTATTTTATTAAAGAATGTATCGCTGAAATAATGTCAAATTACTGTTCAATTTTTTTTAATTTTTTTAATTTTTTGAATTTTTTTCTGTTGACAATGTGACAGAATTGAATATAATTGGCCTGGATTGAGAAAATTAAATTATAATGATTCGATTCATAAAATTTAACAGTAGTCATTTTTTGAGCCACATTATTTTTATAAAAATATATTTTTGAATAGCGTATTGATACAAAATGTGTGGTTAAAAAATAAGAAAATTTTTTGAATTTGCATGTAATATTATTTTATTAAAGAATGTATCGCTGAAATAATGTCAAATTACTGTTCAATTTTTTTTAATTTTTTTAATTTTTTGAATTTTTTAAAAAAAAGGCCCAAACAGGACCATAATAACTTGATTGATATAAATTGAAGTACAATGATTCAATTAAAAATTGAGCTATTAGCCCACTAGAAAAGAACAAGTGTGCAGCCCATTATACAAATCAAACATGGGCCGTCTCATAAAAAAATCATAGACCAATAAGCCCACACTTCATCGAAAACTAGCTATCTCAAATTGACTGGACCTGTTGGTACCAAACCTTATTGGGCCAAGTGTTATCCTTTCTTCATCTAATTTTCCTCGGGTTCAAATTTGGTAACATGAGTATTATCTCTGGTCGATCTTTTAGAAGTAGTAGTTCATAAAGATCGTCCGCTTTTAAATAATATAATTCAAAAAGATGTCAATTTGTTAAATGGATGTCTTTTCGGACCATGCTATGAGTACAAAATGGGTTACAAAATGTCCGTCCCTCCAATCGGCTACCGTCACTTGTTGATTTTGTAACCCATTTTGTACATGATTTAGTATAATTAGAATAATCCTTTTCCTTTTACATTTTTATCCCTACTTTTTCCCTCCCTCAAATGAGAAAATTATAATCGTTTAATTTTCAAACTTCTCAATTGGTTTGAGTTTGATGTAGCCAAGGATAACACAATTAGTAACTATAACAAAATTCAGTCAACATTGATTAAATTAACTCCAAACCTGGTAACCTTTCCTTTCCCAGTTTCTGTCACCTTCTCTCCACATTAACGTTTTGACTGCCCACTTTACAATTGATCAAAGATTGGCGATGGTATTTTAAAGGAAAAGCCCCTCAACTATATCGCGAGTTTTCTTGTCGTAATTGCATTGTGAGTCCTTCTTATGTAAAGTCCATTTCATTCAAAACTCATTGCAATTAAAACAATATTAAAATACTACTTTAATTCCTAATTTATTTAGCTATTTTGATTCAAACCCAGCAGTCACTGAATTGGTAATATTACCATATTAGCGGCAGAAAGTTCAGAGCGATAAACCATAAATAGCCACATTATCAGAATTGAGATTTGATGCAAATCTAATGGTTAAAAATTAATCTTGAAAGGGCTGCAAAAACCAAAATTTAAAGCATAAAAGCACTGAATCTTATAAACTATGCACAGAAACACACAAATAATTTGCATACAAATCAGGCATCAAACAATCTGGTCAAAGGTGAAGCTCATGAATCTTTCCTTTTCTATGCAAAAATCCGTGCAATCATGTTACACATCCAAACTCAATTACAAATAGGACACTTCTCGATATATAATTGGACAGCTTAAAAAATTAAAACAAAAATACTCAATTATTTTCTGATACATTAATCTATCTCTTCACTTCCTATTTTTAAGCCTGATTAAGTGGCTTTATTCAAATCCGTGTGCAAATTCACACCACAAATTATCAATTACAAGTAATTTCCATATCCACTCCTATATCTAGGGCTTAGCCAGTTCTACTAAAATCTAACCTTTTCCCCGCGGCTATGTTGTTTTAAAAAAATTATTTTTGCAGCAAAAAGTATGCCCTGGCGTTGAAAAAAGTTTGATTCCACTTAATATATTTTTATAACATTAATTTTTGTTAGGTTCATGAGGGGCGATTAGAAGTGAACTTTGTTTGGGATGGAGCACTAGTAATAGCTAAAAATCGTGAAACGTACACAAGTCAATGCAAACATCATGCAATTTTCAGACATAAATAGTTTTTCTTGTCTATACAAGTTCTTTTTTCTTAAAAATAAAAATAAAAATAAAAATAAATTAATTAAAGATGTTCGCAATAAAAGCTTAAAAAATAAATAAATTGAGAAATCAATTGGAGGAATGGCCACTAGTGTAGTTGGATATATGACCAGTCATGGATACCCTCTTCTGGATTATTATTTAAGTTCTTACTTCTTACATGCCCTGTCCTGGAACTTGAGGTTTCAGCCTTTTCGGAATTGTAAACTCAGATATTATTCAAGATAACATTTAACCAACATAGTAAATGTCACCAGAGTTTTTGTAATTCTTATATCAGAAAAATAACTTTTAATAAATTTATTTCACGTTAATCAAGATGACGTACATGACATTTGTGTGGATTATTCTATTTGTACAAAATCATATACAGCATGGTTGACAAAATGACCAAGTGGCGGCCCCTTATTGAAGGGGCAATTATACACCATATTGTACTGCTAGCATCTTCCCATTTGTGTAGTCGTATACCCATAGCAAACTATTCAATATAATGAGTTTCAATTTGTCGATCAGTTTGCGACGAGTATGTATTTAAACAGTTAAGGTTCACAAGTTTTTAGTAAAATAGTGAATCCAATAGTTTTTTGATACATAAGGTCCTCTAGGAAAATTGGATATTTTGTTTCATTAAAAATTATTAACTCGTGAGAGTTTTCATTGCATGACATAAAATGTTAAATATATGAAAACTTTCATCGACAATCAAGTTAGGGAGTATTTGAGAGTGATTTTTATGTAAAAATGTATTTTAGAATAGTAATTTGATGGGAAGTGTATATTGAAAAATAAGGAAAAATTTTCGATTTACGTGTAATATTATTTTAATAAAGAATGTGTGATTGAAAAGAAAAAAGATAAAAATACATTTTGAAAAAAAATGAGTACCAAACGGAGGCTAAAGACGAGAGTTGTATTTGTCCAACGTAATAAATGGGTCAAATTTAGTATTAAATTTGTTCAAATCCTTGATTTCGACTGAGAATTACAGAGATTTTCATTGGAATTCGCACTTAACAATTTGGTGAGTCGGTACAAATTCCAATAACCAAATTGCTTGACTAATGCTATCTATTATCAATAAAATAATCATTAGTCTACATGACAATAAAGTCTAACTCATAATAGATAACATTATTCTATCTTGTTTGATAGTATTTTCTAAATGAAAAATGCCTCATTACAGGCCCCTCACATGCTGTGTGAGGGGGGTGGAGGGTGGGGGATTATTTTAAAAAAAGAAATATTATCCTCCTCCTGTAATGTGTGTGGCTTGTACGGACCCTCAACCAGCATTGTTCTTTCTAAATACTTACAAACGGTGGATTTTATAGAGCGCATGAATAATAGGTGAGTAGTGAATTTTACGAAATTTGTTAATAAAAGTATGTTTAACCATCTTAAGATTTAACTATTTTAGAGTATTTTTATTTAACAATAATAGTGTTTAGCGCTAATCTAGATGTTTAAATACTTATTTGAATGTCCGCACATATTGACACGTAAAATAGTGTAAGACCATTTGTGCTAAATAGCGTCATTGATGACTTCAATTTAAAACTCTTGCACTATACTATGAGGTATTGATTTCTATTTAATTTAAAAGAAATTTTTCGATTTATTTACCTAATTGCCTCGGTATTTCATGTGCAAATCATCAAATTCTTGTATATTCACTTGAGATGAGGTTCTATAGTTCAATGACTAGAAGGAGGAAAGAATGATTACTAGGTGTTCATAATTGTAATTTTTAACTTTTACGTTGTTTTTCCCAACCCGAGTTTTACTCTTTTACAAATTTGTGCTATATTTGTTCATTATTATTTATTAATAGAACTTAACATCTAGAGAGTGTGTAATTTATAAAGTTATCAAATGGAGAGATGAGATGAAAGGAGTGTTGAACAATGTAAAATACTCATTAAATTGAAACAAATTAAATTTTGGTGACAAACTAACTAGACGGACAACCTCTGAAAAAAAAAAAAGAAAAAAAGAAAGAAAAAATTACCCGACCCTTCAATATATTTACCTTGACGAGTACACAGACATTTTTCAATAAATCACTCTAGGTAGTAAATAAATGCAGACTTAGGAGGAGGGCTCAAACCTTCAACTAAAAGATCAAAAATTAAATAAATTCACTCAATCCGGATGCAAAGAGTACGCTAATGTAAAAGCAAATGAAATACACTTCATGCTTCAAGTCATACTACTCGTTATCTTACGTTACGTTTACTGCTTTTTTAATTCGTGATTACTTCTATACTCGCTGCTTGAAGAAGATTATATAAATTTATTATTGTACCGAAATTTTGAAAGTCCACGTATTTCGGCTCATAAAGCATTTCTGGTATATTCCTGTGTCCTAGAATAAAATATTCCACCTATATTACTCAAATTATTTTCAACTAATCACATAGACCTAAATCAAAGGTTTCAGTTCAATTTTACAATTTGATTGTTGTTTTTATTGACCATAATCATAGTAACATCTTCAAAATTCAAATAAATAAACAAAAAATCTGCCTTGAAGAGTGAACTTAATGAATAATGCTGAACAAAAAGGGGAAAAAACTAGAAAAAATATAGACTGATATGGCATTTCATGATTGAGCGTGTTAATGATCTTTTTTCCTATTCTCCAATGAAAAACTATCAAGTGTAATCTGAAAATGCTTTTCTGTCATTGACTCTGACTGTGTGGCATGACTATAACTTAATAGTATGGTCCCCAATCCAACCTATTTCTGTTGCTTGTGAATGCAAGAAGACAATCCAGATTACTGCCTACATTTTCAAATTTTCAGTCCGGCACAGCACACAGAAACACAATGCTATGCAGAGAGGTTCTTCTGCACACGTGGTTTCCTCCCTTCCCTTCACAAGCACAAATGTCACTTGCACTTGTCAAATTTGAATTCCACTACCCAAGACTGTAAATGTTGTGGGGTGTCACCATCTATATATACCACGTCTCATTTTTCCATCAAAAAACTAGCTCCTACTTAGCAGACACACAGATTAAGGTTGGTTAGTTTCCTAGGTTTTGGACATTATAAGGTTGAGTTGTACTACTTACTAATCAGAAGAAAATGTCACTAATTATAAGGGTGTCTTTCATTCTTGCTTTGGTAATCTCACTTGCTTATGGCAATGAAGAGGGATGGATTGATGCTCATGCCACTTTCTATGGAGGTGGTGATGCTTCTGGAACAATGGGTACAACCCTTTATCTTTCTCGTTTTATTATACAATCCCTCTTCGATTCACAGTTTTTAACGACTTGAAATCTTGCAGGTGGGGCTTGTGGCTATGGAAATTTATACAGCCAAGGGTACGGGACTGACACGGCGGCGTTGAGCACAGTACTGTTCAACAATGGGCGGAGTTGTGGGGCTTGTTTTGAGATTAAATGTGTGAATGACCAAAAGTGGTGCCTCCAAGGCTCAATTGTAGTCACTGCCACCAATTTTTGCCCTCCAAATTATGCACTTTCAAATAATGCTGGCGGGTGGTGCAACCCACCTAACCATCATTTTGATCTCTCTCAGCCTGTCTTCCAAAATATTGCTCAATACCAAGCTGGGATTGTTCCTGTTAGCTATAGAAGGTATATACACTTCAAGATATGTTTGCTCAACTAATCCAAGGTTTATTTAGTTATCGAATTTTTCTGTTTCGTTTTGCTCACTCTATTTTACTTTTTCACTTATTCCCTTTTTCTTCGTTCTTCCGGAACCCGTACAGAAGCGGGTGCTTTTTCTACGATGTTTACCTTAGTTACTGGGGGATTTCGGGAAAGACCTATGTGGGGGCATTTTTGGGTGTAGAATGCTCGTTTAACCTCTGTATTCGCCTCTTTCATAGTTACATTAACTGGTTAAACTAATGGATTTCAACTTACCATCGAGATTTGAACTCAACAACTCGAACTTTTTGGCCATTTTGTTAGGTTCATTACTATGTCTATTGAAAGGTTGGAATCAACTTGATTCTTAACAACTACACACTTATATAATTAGCCATCATTTATAAGATTAACGTATTTTCTTATTTCTTTTCATTCTTGTATGACCATGACATCCTTGTTTGT